AAATTTTTGTTTTGAATTTAATATTTAATGTTGTTTTAAAGATATTGAGATATCAAAAACTCAAATTAAATATCTTTTGATTACAATTGATAAGAATTATTTATCTTTATTAATTTTTTTTTTTCAACCCTTTTAAAAGGATCATCTATAATATTAGTATAATCCTCTTAATTACTCGTATAAATATTAAATGTATTTGTAAGATCTGAGAGTAAAAATTTATAAAAGAATTTCATTTGTATGAATTCGAAAGGTATTTTCCACTACAGTAAAAAAAGTAGTATTTACATATCTTAAAATTTATTATAAAAAAATACATAAAAAGTTAAAATATAACAAACTTACTAATCAATTAATACTTATTTTTCAATCATGCAAATAGTACACTAATTAAGCTGGATTAATATTTTGTTATATAATAAAACTAATTATTTTTATGAAAGTAGTTTCTTTGATAAATTTAATAATTTTAATTTTCTTAATCATATCTTAGGAAAAAAAACTTAGAAAATAAATGGAGCAAATTTATCTAAAGCTAATAAATTTATTTTTAATAGCTAAAAATTATTAAATTCTAATTTACTTCATCTAGCTCTTTTGGAAATCCAATAAACAATCTGTAATCATAAGTTAGTACCTCTTTTAATAACGTATATATTATTTATTCAAAATTTAAATTAATTCCATCTAAATTAAATTAATGATTTTATGATCATATTATATACAGAAAAAACAAAATATATAGAATGTATCAATAATTCAATCTAGAATAAATTAACAAAATCAACCAAAAGTTCAAAATTTTTGAGTAAACCAAATAATTAACATTTTTTTTAAATATCATCATATTATTTATATTTTGAATTTAATTGCATAACAATTAAAATCATACATTTATTAATTAATACTCTTTACCTGTCACTATTTAGAAATGTATCTACAAATTATTTTTTTTCACATTTTCAGTATTGCTAATAGATTTTTTTTATTCATTTACTAGTATCTAACTTTTAGCTTTAAGAATAAGTAATTTTATATTAAATTTATATATACTTCATTAATTTTTGATTAAAAAAAATATTTTAGCACTAAAAAGATGTAAATATAAAACATATATATACAGAAAAATGGAAAATATATTTAATTATATTGCAGCCTTTCAAAGTTCATGCAAATCATATAATATTTAATTAGGGTTAATGTATTAATAATTTGCAATTAATTTATAAAAACTTATAATTTGTGCTAAATGGTTTTCTTAATGATATTTGATATTATTGATGTAATTGGTAAGCTATTCTGAAAAAAAGTTTGTATCTGGAACATATATTCTTAAATAAAATATATTTATTTGCAAAGCTAAAATTAATTATTATTGAATTACTTCATTTATTTGCTCATTCATTTGAATCAAGATATTTAGATTTTGTGAGATTATACCTTATTTTAATGTACTTATAATTGATTCTATGTTTTTAAGATTTATGAAAACAACAACATTATCTTCATCCTTTGCAAACCAAAATTCATTCTACATTCCCAATATATAATCTATTTTTGATCTTGAACTAAAAATCTGAAAAAGGATTTCTTTATTTAATTCTTCATTTAGACCGATGTTTTAGGAGTCTAAATTAATTTTATTCAATTAATGAAATATGTTTTACTTGGTATCATGTATTTATATCTATTAGATAAATTTATTTTCGTTTTAATTGTTTATCAATTAATGATTTAACTAAGAGTTATTATTTAATATATCTTAATTAGTATTATTTTATCTGAAAGAAATATTTATTGTAGAGGGATATTTAATTGTTATAATATCATAAAGTATAAAGCAAATACTAAAAGCAAAATATACGCCAAAAATGAGCAAGCTAGACAAGTAATGAGTTTATTTTTCAAAATTTGAAGTGTTCAATAAATAGGATAATAAAAGACATATAGATATTTTTAAGAATTTGAGTAATCTGTAAACTTTAAAAGGTAAGGTATTTACATTCTAGTAATATTTACTTAAAGCTTTATTATAAATTGGAACTATATAATTATCTAAATAAATATTAAAATGAAGAAAGAAAAACACTCCTTTTATAAATATCTTCATTCGCATACTTATATAAGGTAATTCAACAGGCTTGTCATAAGCAATCCAAAAAGCAATAAGGTTAATTAAAATTGTCAAAATTATGAAACTTATGGTTAATGCATCTCCTTATATAAGCTATATACTAATATGTTAAGTGTATAAATTACAAAATAGATATCCAAAACCTATAATATTCCTTAACTATGAGAAAGCAATTCTGGAATTATTTGAAATATTATTGATAAGCATATAAGAATGATAACTTTAGTAAGCAATAGAAAAAATTATAAACCAATAAACTAAGCTTTTATCAATTTCATTATAGTCTTAATCCTTTTTATCTGAATGGAAAGCAAATACTTAGAAGTATATTATCATTAAAAATATTAAAATACTTTACTTAAAATTCTAAAACATAAAAATAGTTTTTATTTAATAATATTCTGTATTATCAGCAAACCTAGCCTCCTTAAAGTTAAGTAAAAATATATACCTTATATAGGATAGATAACTTGGTTTTAATTAAGAGAACTATGGGGTCATCCCTGCCTACTTCCAATAATAAATATTTTCATAAACTAAAGCAATATAAAAAATGCCACACATAATAAAATATACTATTATGACAACTCTGTAGCATAGATAAACTAAAACTAAGTACCAAATTATAAATAATAAGGTGTTAAGCTAAAAATATATACTCTTCCTCTTTCCTAAGCACACTAAATACTCTACTTTAGGTATAATTTTATCCATAATATTATCAATTTGTGAGAATTAGATTATTTTGAACTCTAATTAAAAAGTAGAAATTTGCTTTTCTTTTGCTTATATTGCTATTTGTATTTAATTAAATTTAAAAATCTTTATTATTCATGATATTTCTTATTTATATACAAAAAGCTGTTTATTAAAAGAAATTTTATCAAATTAAAACAATAGTTAATTTTTCTTCTTCATTTAAGTTCTAAATATTGAATAACTAAATATTTTTATTGAATTTAATATTTAATGATGTTTAAAAGATATTGAGATATCAAAAACTCAAATAAATTAAAATATCTTTTGATTACAATTTACAAGAATTATGTTTTTATTCATTTTTTTTCAATCCTTTTAAAAGAATAGTCTATAATATTAGTATAATCTTCTTAATTTCTCCTATAAACTTGAAAAGTATTTGAGATATTAGATAATAAAAATTATAAAAGAATTTCATTTGAAGGATTAGAAAGGTATCTTCCAGCATTCGAGTAAATAAATAAATATGAATTACATATTTTTAAAATTTATTATAATAAAATAAATAAAAAAGTTAAAATATAGCAAATATACAAATCAATTAATCCTTATTTTTCAAATCATAAAAATCATACAGTAATTAATCTGGATTAACCTTTTGCTCTTTAAAAAAATTATTTTTATGGAAGTTCTTTTTTTTATAAATTTAATAATTTTAATATACTTAATCATAATTTACTTCATCTAGCTCTTTTTGAATTTCACTTAACAATCTGTAATTGTTTGTTAATACCTCTTTTTATAACACATTTATTATTGATTCAAAATTTGAAATAAATAAAGATAACGTTTCCATCTTTAGCAAACTAAAATCTATTCTTTACTCCAATTATATAATTAAAATTTTTGTTTGATAAATTTTATTAAAAATAATATCTTTTGTTAGTTTATTTTATTCATTGATTTTTCAGAACTGAATTTAGATTTATTCAACTAATCAAAACATTTTGTTTACAAAAATGACTGATTTATACATTAAAAATATCTATTTTCTTCTTTTTTGGTTCATACCTTAGAATACTCGTTAGTTAATTCGTAAAAAAAAGATATGAGATTTTGCGAATTTTTTCACTTTTTTACTATTTTTGCCTAAAATTTTTAAGAAATTGTTGACTTAAGAAAATAATTATTGTAATATCTAAAACACATCTTTTTTATAATAATTTTTTACCCCCTAATTCTAGCTCTGCAAATTAATTTATAAATTGGAAATCATGATTTATTTTTAAATTCCGAGTACGAACGAGCTTTATTTTATTTTTATTTATGAATAAATTAACCAAATCAATCAGAAGTTCAAAACTATTCACAATCATCAAATTTATCATTATATTTACTAAAATAGTTAATCATTTCCTGAATGTGTTCCTCAACTTTATCAATTTACACTAAGTTTTTACTAATATTAATCTCATCACATAAACTAATAATGATACCTAATTATAAAAAGCAATTAATTAAAATTAAAATTAAATATATTTTACCAGATGTAATAGATGAGTCTTGTATTAATTTATTAGGAATATCACTCCAACATCCTTTTACCCTTTTATATATTAATTTACACGATGGACCCCTAATATATCCTTTTTTTGTAGTAAAAAGATAAAATTAGATAAAAATTTTTAGCTAGGGTTGAAGAGACTGGAATATAAGATATTAATTGGTAAGCTATTCTGAAAAAAAGTTTGTATCTGGAACATATATTCTTAAGTAAAATATATTTATTTGCAAAGCTAAAATTAATTATTTTTGTTTTATTTCATTTATTTGTTCATTCATTTGAATCAAGATATTTAGATTTTGAGAGATTATCCCTTATTTTAATGTACTTATAATTGATTCTATGTTTTTAAGATTTATGAAAACAACAACATTATCTTCATCCTTTGCAAACCAAAATTCATTCTACATTCCCAATATATAATCTATTTTTGATCTTGAACTAAAAATCTGAAAATAATAAAAGAAAAATACTCCTTTTATAAATATCTTCCTTCATTCTCATACTTGCTAAAGGCTTTTCAAGAGGCTTGTCATAAGCAATCCAAAAAGAAATGAGGTTTATTAAAAATGTCAAAATTATGAAGCTTATGATTAATGCATCTCCTTATATAAACTATAGAGTAAGAAATTCTGGAATTATTTAAAATATTATTGATAAGCATATAAGAATGATAACTTTAGTAAGCAATAGAAAAAATTATAAACCAATAAACTAAACTTTTATCAATTTCATTATAATCTTAATCATCTTTATATGAATGAAAGGCATATACTTTGAAGCAGATTATCGTTAATTATATTAAAAAATTTAATATAAGATTCTAAAGTATATTAAAAATAAATTATATGTAAACTTAAAATATGCGAAATATGATATGAAAAATATTTAATTGATATCTTGAAGAGTACCAATAGCATTAATCATATTAAAAGAATAGTCTATAATATTAGCATAATCCTCTTAATTTATCCTTTAAATTTTAAAAGTGTTTGCGCGATTTGACAATAAAAATTATAAAAGAATTTCAATTAATTGCATGAATGAATTAGAAAGGCATCTTCCAGCATTTGAGTATATATAAAAATATTAATTACATATTTTAAAATTTATAAAAAAAAATACATAAAAAAGTTAAAATATAACTAACATACTAATAAATTAATCCTTATTTTTCAACCATAATTTTGTAGTTTAGATGGATTAACCTTTTGCTATATAAAAAAATTTATTTTTAAGAAAGTTCTTTCTTTAATAAATTTAATAATTTTAATATACTTAATATTATCTTAGGAAAAAACTTAGAAAATGGAGCAAATGTATTGAAAACAAACAAATACATTTATTTTTAATATCTAAAAATTCTTAATTTCTAATTTACTTCATCTAACTCTTTTTTAATTCCAATTAACAATCTGTAATTGTTAGTAAGTATTTTTATTTTAATAACACATTTATTATTGATTCAAAATTTGAATAAATAAAGATAATGAATAGACTATTTCTATCTTTAGCAAACCAAAAGCTATTCTTTACTTTTATTATATAATTAAAATTTTCTTTGATAAAATATATTAAATATAATCTCTTTTGTTAGTTCATTTTTTTGATTTTTCAGAACTGATGTTTGATTTATTTGACTAATCAAAAATATTTGTTTAAAAAAATGACTGATTTGTATGCAATAAGCAGATCTAATTTCTTCTTCTTTTCCATACAAATTATGAAAAATTCAGAATATTCAAGGATTTGAGTGATTAAAAAGATATTTATTGGGAATCATACAATTAAAAAATTGTAATTTTTTAAAATAAAAAACTCTTTTTGTTTTTTAAGGTATTCAAATTTTGAAATAATTTAATTAATATTAAACATATAAAATCAATGGTATAACCAACCATACCTTATTTCAATTTGCCGATTTTTTTAAAAATCAGGCATAACAATCTTTCTTTCAAAAAGCTATTATAATTATTTAATATAAATAAAAGTTAACCTCGTTGCTAAGGTATTTTACTGTAATTATAAAAGTAGAAAAATAATATATATCACACATACCTATTTTAGATTTAAAAAAATAATATACTAATAAAATTGTGTATTTTTCATAAATTTAAAAACTATTATTCTTACAGTCAAAATTAATGCATATTAAGAATTCACCTTTCATTTTAAGTGTTTTTAAATTGCTTTAAAGCACTGAAATGATAAAATAAATAAATATTTGAACAGTAGCTTTAATAGATTATGATTAGGTCATTGATTTTTAATTAAAAAAATACATTTAAAACACTGAATTACTAATTTTAAATTTATTCTTTTTATTTTGAAATCAAGAGAATAAAATAGAATTTAACTTTTTAATTTTATCTAAATAATTCTACTATAAAATATAATGAATAGTTACACCTATTTTTACATATTTATATCATTATTTTATATTTTCTAAAACTTATATATAAAAACCATAAATTAATTAGCTTACAAATTATTAACAATCTAGGAAAATATTTAGTTAGTATTTCCAAATAAATATTATACTTCTAAAACATCATCTAATTTACTTAATATATTAGTAATTATATTAAGTAATTAATTAAATATATTGTCTCTTTTAATTTACTGGTTAAATTTAGAAAAAGTAAAAAAATATTAACTTAATAATGATTTGTTTATAGTCTGTAATTAAATATTATTTATCTTGCATAATTACTATTAACAGCCTTACTTAATTCTATGTTAATGCTTATTTTAATTATTGTAAATGCATATATAAATCTAATCTTAAAAAAAATATTTACTTGCTTAATAAATTGCTATTTCATTAAAATTAAAATAGATTATCATCTAATTCTAAATTTTAGATTCAGTAAATTAAAGTTTATTAATCATTGACAATTAATTTGATTTAAATTAATAATTTTTTTCACTTGAATATGAAAATTAACTTATATAATACTTTAATACAAAATCTACTATTTATTTATTTGGTATCATAATTTATTTTAAAATGAGTAGAATAATAAAACTTATAAACTGCTTTTTAAAATAAAGATACTCTAACATAATATATAAAGTGAATATATTTATAATACTCAATTTCACTCCTAAAAATAGAGCTAGGGAATTAAAAAAAATAAAAATTTATTAAACAAGATAAAAAAATTTTTGTAAAAAATAAATTATAGAACTAACTTCACTTTACATAAAATTAATAGTACCTCTCTTTTCTTTACAAAAATAAATATTAAGTGAAATACAAGATAAAATTGCATAGGTTTTCTAAAAATAAAATAGAGCTTGAAAAATATATTATTACACATTAAAAAAGAATAGTTTTTTTTTCATGTTATCAATTTTTTAATTAAAATCTTATTACTTTAAAAAAACCTCATAGAAAAACTATCACAAAAAAAAATAATTTTTAGGGCATTATCTTTACTTTAATAGCAATAAGATACATAATATTAGAATTTACTTTCCAAAAATTAAAAATCTAATGAAAAATAGTAAATATTTTTCCATAAAAAAGGATTAGTGTTACATTTTTATATTTATTTTGATGAAAATATTAAGTAAGCAACTTTCTTGCTTAATTTAAAATTACTTGATAAAATTAATTAAAAAATTTACTATATTAATAAATCACTCTACTTGTTTATTTGCTTTCTTTTATTACTTTATTTTTTTAATTTGAATATATGTAATTTTTGTAAAATAAAAAGTAATTATAGATTAATTGTTTTCTACATTTATTTAAAGGGTAATTAAAATGGAATCGAATCTATCATTTCATCATCAAAAAATCTAAAAAATATATTTATGAATAGCATTTTATTTATTTATCACATATTTCTTCATATGATACAATAAATTAGTTAAACAGAAAAATTTTTCATAAATCTTTTATTAAAATCGTTAAAAAATAACAAGTCGATAGAGGCATACATTTTTACCAGAGTTTTATTAGATTAATCTTACACCTTTATTTTTTAAAAGCCATAATTTATATCTAAAAATAGTAAATATATTTATTAACATTTATAATGGATTAAATTTTTAATTTTGGTAATTAATTAAATATTAAATAAGGTTTATTTTTAAGGTATTTTAACTATATTTAATTAAATTTTCACCTATTACTCACTAAGTATCATTTACCACAAAATTTTTAAGCTGCTACAAACGATTTATTTAAATAGAATAGCTATTTTTAGCAATACGCTTTGATTAAATGAATTTTGTAAATTTAACTAAACTAATAATATATTTTAATGAATGATGAATTTGTTATTTTAAACCTCAAATCAAAGCTATAAAGAAATAATAATAACATAAATTTAATATTTAATTTAACACTAAATTTAAAAACAATGCAATTCAAAAATATTTAATTCATTTGGACTGTTATCTTAGCAAACCTAGTTTATGGAGGTAATTACTTTATATTTCAAATGAAATTCCTAATTATATATTTTTATTGGAAAAGCTGAAAAACTCGTTGTATCACAACTGAATGGTCTTTTTAGTAGAGCAGATGTTTCATGGGTTAGTAATAGTGTATTTATATGCGGAGCAACTGACTATACAGATTTTTCAAGTTCAAGTGTTTTGGGTGTGTTTGGTTTAAATAATAATGTTACTTAAAATACCTTTAATCTTCCACCACATTGGAGTTTCTCTGTCAGATTTGACCTTATACTCTCTTAATCTTTAGATACTAATCCAGATGACGATACTATATTTGTAAAAATTGAAGGAGTGACAGATAAGTTCTAAAAAGTAAGTGCAGGTGGTGGATATAAGTTATGTACAACTGGGACTAGTTGGGGTGATGAATTAGTCCTTTACTATAGAAATTTTACTCATAATTCACCTTCTACCACTATTAAACTTGAATCAAAAACAAATGAAGATATTACTAATGAAGGTTACGCATTAAAGAATTTTTATCTATTTGTAGATACTTGCCATGATACTTGTTTAACTTGTAATGGACCAGCAGCAAATCAGTGTTTAAGTTGCCCATCTAATTCGGATTAAAGTGGAAGTACGTGCTAATGTAAAAGCGGTTACTATGCCCAAAATAATTCTTGTATTAGATCTTGCTCATCAGGTTTTAAATAAGATGCAACAGGATAATTCTGTGTTTTAGATTTTTGCGATAAAGCAAAATGCAAATCTTGTGATAATGTTTTAGATATATGTACTGATTGTCTTTCAGGGCTTTTTTTGATAGATGGATAGTGTGTAGATGAATGCCCCTCATATTCGACAGCTAGCGGATCGATATGTGAAGATCTAAAATCTAAAACTAGCAGTAAATTTTTTATTATAAATTTGTTTGTTAATAAATAAATTCAATATTTTTTAGATGGAGTTTACTTGCTTAAAAGTATGTTTGACACTAATTTCGGAGAAAGCGAAGTGCAAGGTGCAGGTATCACAATTGAAGGATTTTAAGGATTCAACAATAAGGAAAGTGGAGCACTAACTACCTCCTGTGGTGGTAAGTCATTATTAGGAGGAGCATACTTAAGTTCTGAAAAAGCTATTATTACCTCTACTTTGTATAGTGGATTGTAACCTAATTTTTAATTTTTCATAATATTGTCATAAATAATAAATAAACTTATATTAGAGATCCTCACTGGTCAGTAGTTATTGGTTATACTCTTTATAAAATCGATTCTTGGAGTTCTGAGAGTGTCTAATTATTTGTAGATAATAAATCCAGAGTTTCTACAGTAAGGAGTGAAAGTGATGGAGACTCAAATATATGTGGAAGATTATCGAAGAAAGACTAAATAATAAAAGTTTCTAAAAATATTACTCATTCTAGCTCAACTCTTTAATTTAATATAAAATCTTATTTAAGAGGAGATTCTTTTACTAAATCTTTTGGAATTAGAGAGTTGTATATTCTAGTAGACTATGTAAAATATATTAAATCATCTTCATTTAATTTCACAAATATTTTACTAAAAAAAGTGCTCAAGTAATTGCAAAGAATGCAACGCCTCAGGATGTGTCAAATGCAATTCTACCTATTATTTGTATAATTCTTAGTGTATTTTAGCTTGCCCAGATGGGTATACCTCTGATAGTGATAATACTTGTTAAGCATGTCACTCCACTTGTCTAACTTGTTCATCACCATGTAATTTACAAAATTAATTAAATAAATAAATCTATAAATTTTGACTATTTCCAATTTTTCTCAAAATAAAACTCTAAAAACAATAAATTTCTTTAATAATAGCGAGCACCTCATGCTTAACTTGCAGAGATAATAATTATTTAAATCCAGACCGTACTTGCAAAGAGAGCTGCCCTTCTCAATTCTGGGGTGATGACTCAAAATGGTAATGCAAATAATGTGATGCACCATGCTACAATTGTTAAAATCCAGGTACTTACTTACTCTTTCAAATTTATTAATGTTGTTTTTCCTAATTTAAGGACCATTTTAATTATTACCCATAGCTTTTTCTAAAATTATGCTGAAATTATACCTTTTTTTTGGTTTAAAAATTATTTGAATGAGGGTATTAAATGAAATGAAATTTACTAATTTTTAAAAAATTATAAAATAATTAATAATTTTCAATTCAGTATTTTTAAATATTATTTTAATGGCTACCTCAGTTAATCAATCATATATATTCTAAAACTTATAAGCCAATCAAATTTATCTTATATTTTATTAATTAAAGGTAATTCAAATTCATGTACAAGCTGTAGTGGAACTTTATACTTACTAGGAAACCAGTGTTCAAGTGATTGCCCTGCTCATACATTTAAATTAACTTGTAAAAATTGAAAAATTTAAAAAATATTAACTAATAAATATTCATTCTTTAAATAAAAGAAACTTTCAATAATATATGTTAAACATGCCATTCGTCTTGTAAAACTTGTGATGGAGCTACAAGCAATAATTGTTTGAGTTGTGAAGCCCCAGACTTATTTTATTAAAAGGGTTCCAAGACTTGTTCAGATACTTGCTAATTAAATTAATTTAAAAATACAAGTAATTAGGAGTGTACTTCTTGTCATACTACTTGCGCTTCTTGTTCTGGTCCCTAAAATAACTAATGTTTGTCTTGCTCAGGTGCTTTATTTTTGTTCGAAAATTAATGCATTCCAGACTGTCCTGAAAATTATTTTAAAAATACTTTAAATAATTAATGTACTCTATGCCATGCTAATTGCTTGACATGCAACGGAAGTGGTTCTAATAACTGTCTTTCTTGTTCACCATCAAGCTTACTAGATCTTAGTTCACATTAATGTGTATCTGAATGTAGCTCAAACCAATATTCCGATACAATCTTAAATCAATGTAAACAATGTGATTCTACATGCTTAACATGTGATGGGTCAGGAATAAATAGTTGTTTGAGCTGTTTAGGACCAAATTTATTTTACTAAGCAGACTCTAAGAGTTGTGTTACTATTTGCCGTCCTAATTAATTTTAAGACGCAATAAATCAACTATGTTCATCTTGTGATCCTTCTTGCAAAACTTGCTCAGGTCCTAGTAGTAGTAACTGTCTTACTTGCTCAAGAGGTCTAATTTTACATGATAACGAATGCATCAACAGTTGTCCTGAATAATTTTACTATGATGTCGTAAATGATATATGCTCTCCATGCAATTCTAAATGTCTTACATGCAGTGGAAGCGGATCTGATAATTGTCTTTCTTGCAAATTAAATACTTATTTAGATCCTTCCACACATAGATGTGTAGAAGGTTGTAATAAGAATTAGTATATTGATCATGTTTCTAAAGAATGTAAATAGTGTGATATTTTGTGCAAAACTTGTTATGGACCAGATAGTAATAATTGTTTAAGTTGTGAAGGACCAGACTTATTTTATTAAGAGATCTTCAAAAAGTGCGTTTAGGATTGTGATAAAAATTAATATAAAAATGAAGTTAATTAGACATGCTCAACTTGTGATCCCTAATGTGCTACTTGCTTTGGTCCTGGTAGTAATAACTGTCTCTCTTGCCCAAGAAATCTAATTCTAAGTTTAGGATAATGTGTTGAAGTATGTCCTGTCTCATATTATAAAAATAGTGATATTAATGAATGTCTTCCATGCGATCCTACATGTTAAAATTGTGACGGTCCTTTAGAAAGCAACTGTACAGAATGTCCATAAGGTAAATAAAATCAATAAATAAATAATTTTTATATTTCTATATTAATTAAATTTTTTTATATAAAGGATTGCTATTATAAGAAAATAAATGTGTATCAAAATGTGATGACTCTTATTATGTTAACCCCTTTTCTAGCATTTGCCAAAAATGTGATTCTTCTTGTCAAACATGTTTTGGACCTTCAGAATCTGAAGTAATTTAAAATTCAAAAAAAATAATAATAATAAAAATTTCTTATTAAATAAAGTGCTCTTCTTGTGCCTTAGATTTAATTTATTTGAATAACTCTTGCCTTAATGAATGCCCTAAAAACTATTTTACAGTTTAGTAAACTGATGTTTTAGAATGCTTTGAATGCCATAGATATTGCTAGCTAGGATGTTCTGGTCCGCTTAAAGAGGATTGTGATTAGATAAAATACCAATATTAAATAGTTATTTTTATTTTTGTTGCTAAAAGTATTCTCTGGATAGTTTCTTCAGTTATTGGTTACTTTTTAGATAAAAGATAATCTAAGACATTTAATTCTATCATTAAATCTCCTCGTTATGTAAGTAAAAGTGAAAAGGTTTCTAAAATTAGTCTAAAATAAGAGGATGATAAGTAAGAGGATAGTTAGCAATAAGAAGAGTAAAGTTAAAACATTGAAGAATTACAAAATGAATTAGAAAACTAATAAAACTAAAAATAAAACAATTTAGAAGATGTTTAAAATTTAAATTTCTTAGAATAAATTATGTAATCACATATAACAACCAAAAAAATAAAACCAAGAAAAAAATTTCAGAATTCTTAAAGGTCTATTTAAATTTTAGAGTATCAATAAACTAATTTAGAATCAAATCATCACTCTCAAACTAAGATGTCCAGTTTATGTTTTCCTACTATTGGTACTATTTAAAACTTTAATAAAACCAATAACCAATAAGTTGTAGATAATTAAGGATAGGATAATTAATCTTCCTAATAACAGGCCTATCTTGCAAACAATAAATTTAAATTCACAATAGTAATTATTTTTATTTATAAAAAATTTATTAAAAATATTCTATTTAACTTATTTAGCTAGGAAATGAGTGGGTTTCTTTGTTTTACTTTTATGATTAAGAAGTTTCCAGAGTTACAAGGGCTATTTTAATATTTTTAAAGTATTAGGCGTTTTTCTTATCTTCTGAGCTAGTTTACTCTGTAAATTTTATTTGAAATAATTTTATTTTTATTTTAAATTTTCAAAATAAAAAATAGAATTCTGAATATTTATTGATTGTTGCACTAATAATCAGTCTATTGTTTAAATAGGTTTTAAAAACCACCTAAGAAATTTTATTAAAAAAGTCTATGAAATTTTTGTCAGTTATTTTTTTCACTCTCATTCTAAGTTCAAGTCTCTACATTGCCTTTTGGTTTGCACCATAACTTCAAAATTTGTATCTTTAGAAAGATAAAGCATGGAGTCTTTATGTTGGATTGCTATTGATATGTGATTTCTTCATACTGTAATAAGTTTTAAGTTTTATTTAATATATCTTTACGATCAAATACTTAAATTCTTTACAAAGTAAAAATAAATTTGTAAAAGTGTACAAATTATTAGCTAATGAATATTTTATTTAAAAAATAAAATGAAAAATTTTATATTACTTAATTATATTAAAGAAATTGTATTAATAATTGTATATTCTTTATTTTTGTAAGCTTTTTTATTGGCTTTTCTTTTTATTTAATAAAAACTTTCTTTTAGCTTTTTTTAGAAAAAATTATTAATGAGCTCTTCAAAGTTTATTTTTTTTAAATTAAAATTTTTTTTAGCTTTTTATAAAGTAAATTATTTTAAATTAAAAATAATTTTATAAATAAATCATTTAGTTATAATCAACCAATTTGACTTAAATAAATAATAAATCATAATTTTTCTGTGATATTCTAGCCTAAATAAACTAAAAAAAAACTGAAAAAAAATATTTTTCGCAATAAGTAAAATATATTATTTGAGGTTAAATAAAGATCAAATATTCCACTAAAAAAGTTGCCTAAAATATAGTTTTAAAGATATAAAATTTACAATTAAATTATTTTAAATTTTATATAATTCAGTAATAGATGTAAGATGTCAATACCTTTAGAAGAAAATCTTTTAAAAATGTTGTAATCTTAAATAAATATCCAATAGAATTCAATTTGAGCAATGGCATCATACAACCAAGTTTTTTAAATACAATAGAAAATAAATAATATTAATTTAAATAAAAAAACCATCTTAACTTATTAACAACATCATAAATATTTTACATATGAAATTAATATAGAATTTACTGCTTATTTACTTTCAATGAATAAACAAAATATACACATTTTTGCTTGATTATTTGACAAAATTTTTGTATGATAAGATATTTAAGTGAGTTATCATTCCTTTGAATGAAATCCAATTAAAATAAAAATTCATATTATTTTTAATTAAAAAATATAATAATTATTCAAGTATCAAAAATTAATGTTCCAAGTTAAATTAATAAATAAATTTAAATTAAAAATTTTTGATGTAAAAAAATTATTTATTTTTGAAATAATAATAAATTAAAATATTAATTATAATTCTTTTATAAAATATAAAAATCTATTTCATAATAAGTTAATTCCAAACATCTTGCTATACTTTTAATTGATTCTATGTTTTTAAGATTTATGAAAACAACAACATTATCTTCATTTATTTTCGTTTTAATTGTTTATCAATTAATAATTTAACTAAGAGTTATTATTTAATATATCTTAATTAGTATTATTTTATCTGAAAGAAATATTTATATAGAAGGATATTTAATTGTTATAATATCATAAAGTATAAAGCAAATGCTAAAAGCAAAATATACACCAAAAATGAGCAAGCTAGATAAGTAATGAGTATATTTTTCAAAATCTGAAGTGTACTATAAATAGGATAATAAAAGACATATAGATATTTTTAAAAATTTAAGAAATCTGTAAACTTTAAAAGGAGATATTTACATTCTAGTAATGTTTACTTAAAGCTTTATTGTAAATAGAAACTATATAATTATCTTAATATATATTAAAATAATAAAAGAAAAATACTCCTTTTATAAATCTTCATTCTCATACTTGCTAAAGGCAATTCAAGAGGCTTGTCATAAGCAATCCAAAATGAAATAAGGTTTATTAAAAATGTCAAAATTATGAAGCTTATGATAAATGCATCTCCTTATATAAATTATAGACTAATATATTAAGCGTATAAAGTACAAAATAGATATCCAAAACTAAAAATATTCTTTAAATAAGTGAAAGAAATTCTGGAATTATTTGAAATATTATTGATAAGCATATAAGAATGATAACTTTAGTAAGCAATAGAAAAAATTATAAACCAATAAAATAAACTTATATCAATTACATTATAATCTTAATCATCTTTATCTGAATGAAAGACATATATTTTGAAGCAGATTAAAGTTATATATTTTAAAAAATTTTATTTTAGATTCTAAAGTATATTAAAAATAAATTTTATGTAAACTTAAAATATGCGAAATAGGATATGAAAAATATTTAATTGATATCTTGAAGAGTAGCAATAGCATTAATCATTTTAAAAGAATAGTCTATAATATTAGTATAATCCTCTTAATTTATCCTTTAAATTTTAAAAGTGTTTAAGAGATTTAACAATAAAAATTATAAAAGAATTTTAATTGCACAAATTAGAAAGCAACATTTGAGTATAAATAAAAATATTAATTACATATTTTAAAATTTATAAAAAAAAATACATTAAAAAAGTTAAAATATAACAAACATACTAATAAATTAATCCTTATTTTTCAATCATAATATAGTAGTTTAGCTGGATTAACCTTTTGCTATATAAAAAAATGTATTTTTATTAAAGTTCTTTCTTTAATAAATTTAATAATTTTAATAAACTTAATATTATCTTAGGAAAAAACTTAGAAAATGGAGCAAATATATTTAAAACAAACAACAAATTTATTTTTAATACCTAAAAATTCTTAATTTCTAATTTACTTCATCTAACTCTTATTTTATTCCAATTAACAATCTGTAATTGTTAGTTAGTACCCCCTTTTAATAACACATTTATTATTGATTCAAAATTTGAATAAATAAAGATAATGAATAGACTATTTCCATCTTTAGCAAACCAAAATCTATTCTTTACTCCAGTTATGTAATTAAAATTTTCTTTGATAAAATATATTAAATAAATATCTTTTCTTAGTTCATTTTTTTTTGATTTTTCAGAACTGATGTTAAATTTATTCGACTATTCAAAAATATTTTGTTTACAAAAATGACTGATTTGTATACATTAATCAGATCTAATTTCTTCTTCTTTTCTATAAAAATTATGAAAAATTCAGAATATTCTAAGATTTGAGTGATTAAAAAGATATTTATTGGGAACCTTACAATTAAAAAATAGCAATTTTTTTAAATAAAAAACTCTTTTTGTTATTTAAGGTAATCAAATATTCAAATTTTGAAATAATTCTATTAATATTAAACATATAAACTCAAAAGTATAACCAACCATACCTTATTTCAATTTATTGATTTTTTTAAAAATCAGGCATAATAATCTTTCTTTCAAAAAGTTATAATAATTAATTAATATAAAATATAAATTTAAAATTTAACCTTGTTGCTAAGGTATTTTACTGTAATTAAAAAAGTAGAAAAATAATATATATCACTCATATCTATTTTAGATTTAAAAATTAATAACAAATAAAATTATGTATGTATTTTTCATAAATTTAAAAATTATTATTCTCCCAGTCAAAGTTAATGCATATTAAGAATTCACCTTTCATTTTAAGTGTTTTTAAATTGCTTTAAGGCTGAAGTGATAAAATAAATAAATATTTGAACAGTAGCTTTAATAGATTATGAATAGGCCATTGATGTTTAATGAAAAAAATACATTTAAAACACTTAATTATTAATTTTAAATATATTCTTTTTATTTTGAAATCAAGAGAATAAATATTATATTTCTAAAACATCAATAATCTAATTTACTTAATATATTAGTAATTATATTAAGTAATTAATTAAATATATTGTCTCTTTTAATTTACTGGTTAAATTTAGAAAAAGTAAAAAAATATTAACTTAATAATGATTTGTTTATAGTCTTTACTCAATATTATTTATGTTGCATAATTATTATTAACAGCCTTACTTTAATTCTATGTTAATGCTTATTTTAATTATTGTAAATGCATATATAAATCTAATCTTAAAAAAACTATTTACTTGCTTAATAAATTGTTATTTCATTAAAATTAAAATAGATTATCATCTAATTCAAAATTTTAGATTCAGTAAATTAAAATTAATTAATCATTGAAAATTAATTTGATTTAAATTTATAATTTTTTTCACTTGAATATTAAAATTTATTTATATAATACTTTAATAAAAAATCTACTGTTTATTTATTTGGTATCATAATTTATTAATAATAAAATTTATAAACTGCTTTTTAAAATAAAGATACTCTAACATAATATATAAAGTGAATATATTTATAATACTCAATTTCACTCCTAAAAATAGAGCTAGGGAATTAAAAAAAATAAAAATTTATTAAACAAGATAAAAAACTTTTTGAGATCGATTAATCTATAAAATATAAATTGAAAAAGCTATTAATCATAGTATTCAAAAATAAAATTTCTAAATGATTAATCTGTTAATTAAATATGAATTTTCTCTCATTAAAAAGTATTAAATTGCAAATTTGTACTAAAATGTATTACTTCATCTTATATTTTGTGAAAAATTTTATTAAAATAATCTTTTTAATTTCAGGATATTATTAAATATTATTTTTTTAATTTTGCTTAGTTTCTTTTTTTCAAATTCTTTTTTACCATTTTTTTAATTTTTTTATACTTTTACAAACCTTA